AAACAAAAATCACATGTTCACCTCAATTGATACAAAAAAAAAAGTTCAACAAAATCCAGCATCCCTTTATGATTAAAACTCAGCAAAATTGGCATACAAGGGACATACCTTAATGTAATAAAAGCCATCTATGACAAACCCACAGCCAACAGAATACTGAATGGGGAAAAGATGAAAGCATTCCATCTGAGAACTAGAGCAAGACAAGAATGCCCACTCTCACCACTCCTCTTCAACGTAGTAATGGAAGTCCTAGCCAAAGCAATCACACAAAAGAAAGAAATAAAGGGCATCTAAGTCAGCAAAGAGGAAATCAAACTGTCACTGTTTGATGATGATGATTGTTTACCTTGAAAACCCTAAGGACTCCTCTAGAAAGCTCTTAGAACTGATAAAAGAATTCAGCAAAATTTCCGAATACAAGATTAATGTACACAAATCAGTAGCTCATCTATACACCAACAGCGACCAAGCAGAGAATCAAATCAAGAACTCAACCCCTTTTACAATAGCTGCAAAAAATAAAATAAAATAAAATACTTAGGAATATCCTAACACAGGAGTCAAAAGACCTCTAAAAGAAAAACTATAAAACACTGATGAGATAAATCATTGATGACACAAACAAATGGAAACACATCCCATGCTGATGGATGAGTAGAATCAATATTGTGAAAATGACCATACTGCCAAAAGCAAACTACAAATCCAATGCAATCCCCATCAGAATACCACCATCATTCTTCGCAGAATTAGAGAAAACAATTCTAAAATTCATATGGAACCAAAAAAGAGCCCACATAGCCAAAGCAAGACTAAGTAAAAAGAAGAAATCTGGAGGCATCACATATCTGATTTCCAACTATACTATAAAGCCATAGCCATCAAAACAGCATGATACTGGTATAAAATAGACACATAGACCAATGGAACAGAATAAACCCAACTACTTACAGCCAACTGATCTTCAACAAAGCAAACAAAAACATAAAGTGGGGAAAGGACACCCTTTTCAATAAATGGTGCTGGGATAATTGGCTAGCCACATGTAGGAGAATTAAACTGGATCCTCATCTCTCACCTTATACAAAAATCAACTCAAGATGGATTAAGGATTTAAACCTAAGACCTGAAAATATAAAAATTCTAAAAGATAACATTGGAAAAATTCTTCTAGATATGGGCTGAGGCAAGGATTTCATGACCAAGAACCCAAAGCAAATGCAATAAAAACAAAGATAAATAGCTGGCACATAATTAAACTAAAGAGCTTTTCCATGGCAAAAGGAACAGTAATCAGAGTGAACAGACAACCCACAGAGTGAGAGAAAACTGTCTCAATCTATACATCTGACCAACGACTACTATCCAGAATTTACAACTAACTCAAACAAATTAGTAAGAAAAAAGCAAACAACCCTATCAAAAAGTGGGCTAAGAACATGAATAGACAATTCTCAAAAGATATACAAATGGCTAACAAACATATGAAAAAATGCTCAACATCACTAATAATCAGGGAAATGCAAATCAAAATGACAAGGAGATACCACCTTAGTCCTGTAAGAATGACCATAACCAAAAAAATAAAAAAACAGTAGATGTTGGCATGGATGTGGTGAACAGGGAATGCTTCTACACTGCTAGTGGGGATGTAAACTAGTACAACCACTATAGAAAACAGTGTGGAGAGTCCTTAAAGAACTAAAAGTAGAGCTATCATTTGATCCAGCAATCCCACTACTGGATATCAGCCCAGAGGAAAAGAAGTCATTATTCAAAAAAGATACTTGCACATGCATGTTTATAGCAGCACAATTCACAATTGCAAAATTGTGGAACCAACCCAAATGCCCATCAATCAATGAGTGGATAAAGAAACTGTTTTTTATATAGATAGATAGATAGATAGATAGATAGATAGATAGATAGATACATACATACATACATACATACATACATACATACATACACACACACACACACATACACACACTATGGAAAACTACATAGCCATAAAAAAGGAATGAATCAACAGCATTTGCAGTGACCTGGATGAGACTGGAGACTACTCTTCTAAGTGATGTAACTCAGGAATGAAAAATCAAACATTGTAGGTTCTCACTGATATGTGGGAAGCTAAGCTATGAGGACACAAAGACATAAGAATGACACAATGGACTTTGGGGACTTGAGGGGAAGAGTGGGAGGGGGTGACAGATGAAAGACTACAAATATGGTGCAGTGTATACTGCTTGGGTGATGGGTGCACCATAATCTCATAAATAGCCACTAAAGAACTTATGTAATCAAATACTACCTGTACCCCAATAACTTATAGAAAAATAAAATAAAACCTTCTGTTCTTTCCTTTATCTAAAACTTTGGAGGTAAAATATTATATCTCACCATATTACCATGGTGGAGCTTAGTAAATTTTGACTTGTGTGAAACAGAACTTTGTCTAGACCTGAGTTGACCAATTGTCTCTTTCATGATCATGCTACTCTAGTGGTTTGAACTATGTAAACTTTCTAGTCATCTGTATATACAATGTATCACAAGATTATGTGTTATTGGACTACATGAGTCTCCAGGGAACCCTCAGTTGCTACGTTGACAGGGGTGAGAATCAGGAAGACCTCGAATCCCTGGATGTATGTTGTATGAAAGGGAAAAGTCTTCAATACTCTAGCCAATGCTAACATGATAACATCACATGGTTTCAGTCCAGGCTTTGTACAAACACAGAAAAGATGTGATAGCGAATATTAAATCTAGTTCTTTGACCTGTATTTTTTGAGATTTTGCTGTATGAAAAGCAGTGTAATAAAAACGAGGAAATGAAAGAAATTTAAATCCTTGCTTCAGCAGTTTACTACCTAGTTGAGACAAGGAAAGAAAACCAATCCAGATAGCTTTTTGCCCAAATGATCTATGTAATCGAAGTACCTAAAGATCTATCTATCATGTATAAGAAATTTCACTGGAGTATCATTAGCAATAACAAAGTCTGGAAACAATTTAACAATCTAACATTGTGAGATAAATTAAATAAACTGGTATATCCATTGAACTATTCAGTCATTTAATAGAATGAGATAAATCTCTGTGCAGTGCTATGGAAAGTATTCCAAGAATATTTTTTAAGAAAAAGAGGCCAGGTGTACATCTTTTGGCCTCTTATTCTTTAAAAACATGTCAAATGTAAAATTAAAAATGTAAAATGGTTTTTACATTTTTAGATTAGTTTAAAAGCTCAAAATCACTAATCACTAGAGAAATGCAAATTAAAACCACAATGAGATACCATCTCACATAAGTTAGAATGGCTATTACTAAAAAGTAAAAAAAAGAAAGAAAGAAAGAAACGGATGCAGGTGAGATTGTGGAGAAAAGGGAATGTTTATACACTGCTGGTGGGAATGTAAATTAGTTCAGCCATTGTGGAAAGCAGTTTGGCTACTGCTCAAAGAACTTAAAAAAAAAATTACTACTTGAACCAACAATCTTATTATATTGGATATATACCCAAGGGAATATAAATTGTTCTACCATAAAGACAGATGAGCACATATGTTCATCACAGTACTATTCACAATAGCAAAGACATGAAACTAACCTAAACTCCCATCCACAGTGACTGGATAAAGAAAACGTGGTACATATACACCATGGAATACTATGAAGCCATAAAAAAGAATGAGATAATATTCTCTGCAGCAACACGGATGGAACTGGAGACCATTATCCTAAGCAAACTAACACAGGAATAGAAAACCAAATACAGCAGGTTCTCACCAATAAGTGGGAACTAAACATTAAGTACATATGGACACGAAGAAGAGAACAACAAACACTGAGGCCTTCTGAAGGTTGAGAGGAGGGTAAAGATTAAAAAAAACAAAAACAAAAAAAACCTACCTATCAGGCACTATGTTGATTACCTGGGTGACAAAATACTCTGTACACCAAATCCCCACAGCAAGTAATTTACCTATATAACAAACTTGCACATGTACCCCTGAACCTAAAATAGTGAAAAAACGAAAAAGAAGCCATGGACAGAATAGTGTGTATAATATGCCCCCAATTGTAATAAAAGAGGTATATATTCATGGTACATATGTATGCTTATATATATCCATGGAAATTTTCTGATAGGATACATCATTAACTCTTAAAAGTTATCACCTCGTGTAGGTAACAAGGCATAGACATGCCCACCTCCAGAGTATGATCATAGCCAATGAGAATCCCCATGGCCTTTGAAGAAAATATGTTTCACATAGGAGAAAAAGTTTAATTAATCCTGTTTTCCAAAAGCCAAAGTTTGGGATTAAAGTTCATCTTTCTTTATGCCCTTTTCAGGTATTGTGGTCAGTAAGCCCAAAGATGGAATGTCCTGGCCAGTGATTGTAGCAGCTTTACTCTTTTGCTGCATGATATTGTTTGGTCTTGGAGTGAGAAAATGGTGTCAATACCAAAAAGAAATGTGAGTATAATATTAACATATATAGGAACTGACAACTTCTCATTGTAAAATGTTCATCAATACAATATATTATTACTCTGTGAAGTTCCTCCCATATTTTAATGAAGAAATAAGGCTCACAGAAGCTCAGAGAGATTAAATAGCTTTCCCAACATCACACAGCTGGGATTAAATACACAACTCCTGACTCAGTATCCCTCTCTGCATTGGCCTAGTCAGGCTGTAACATTCATCAGATAGAGCAAGTCTGTGGACATGAAATGAGAACTGAGCCTTACCTCCCCTCAAAACTAAAACTGATTTTTCTTTCAATCTTCATTATTTTTTCATTTTCATGCATCTTTAAACTGCCTAGGCTCCGCTGGTCCTAGGTGCTCGAGTGTGAAATTGAGTGAGAAAGGTAATTTCAAGAGATTTCCAGCCGCTTTTTTTACTAGGGTGGGCTTTTACTGCCCTTTTCCTTTTTTCCCAAGCAGAAAAGAAAGTAAGCATTGGGTTACTCATTTTTGTCTTGTTGAAATGTTTTCCAAAACCCTTCTCCAATCAGCAGGCTGAAATGGTACATAAGGTTAAGCCTCATTTTTCTGACTTGCTATTTTGAGTCAGTCTGGATTGGGCCATCATTGGAAGAGACCCCAGTACCCAGAGCTGATCTTCCACTTGTCTTACTACTGCTCTAAGATAACATTAACCATCTTGCCATATGCTTTTCTACCTTTTGCAGAGTATCCTTGAAGACTCTATAACCCCATACAGGGAGTGGTGAATACAACACTAAACCAGAAGTTAGAAATTCTAGATTCTTTTCCAAGGACTACAATTTGGCCACCACATGACCTTGAGAAACTCATAATTCCTCCAAAAAACAAAAGTAAAACAAAAGTGCACATTTCGTAGCATTGTACCTACCTATTAATACATATGAAGTCTCCATTAAAGCATCTGAAAATTGGGTAACAGGGATTAGAGAGTTTTATATTAAATGAACAAATGAAATCTGAAAATCTGAATTGATTTTTTAAATTGTTCTGTATTCAAATGTTTGTTTTATATGGAGATGAGAATCAATCTCTCCATCCTCCTTCCCCCACCGCCCACTCTTTATCTCTCCTAAGAGGCTATGGATTGCCACGGCATGGAAGTGTTTGAGTGATGGACATAAAGATGTTCACAGATATATTTCTGTTTCCTGATATCAAGATAGCTAGAGCATTTGTATAGCTAAATTCCACACTAACTTGGCTCTTTAACGCATCTCTGAAAAAGAGATGACTTGCACTAACATAAAATAGTGCTTTGTGCAAAGATGGCTTTAAGAATGTTCACTGATTCAAACAAAAGGGATTTAGGCATTATCTAGCCAGTACTCAGGGCTCAAGAAGAGATTTACTTCCCATCTCTACCATATCCCCACAGTACATAGTGAGTGTTCGGGCAAAGGCTGGGGCTAGGGTTAGCAAAGAGGCTATATGAAAAGCTTCAGTCTTAAATCCTAGAATTTTAAGATTTAGTCTCAGGAGGAAAATTTTAATCCACATAAGAGAAACATTTCTTCTATTAGGAGGCAGTTTTCATGCAGAGTATCAGTTCTGGTGAAAAGACTTGAATTGTCCATCTGGTTCTCTTGAGCAAGTTGTTTAAAACCTCTGAGCCTCAGTTTTATCTGTAGATGGTGATGCATTTCCTGCACACAAAGTAAATAATGTTATGATAAAAACGCTTTGCAAACTACAAAGTACCATCTAAATATTAACTAATAGTAACATCATGAGGTTCAAATGGTTGACAGGACTAACAAGCACAGGGTTATGCCAGCAAGAATGCTGAAAGAACTGGGAGGGTATGTCTCTTTCTCATCAATCTGTGTTCTCCTTTAAAGAAACAAAGCACGTCTGTGTGTGTGTGCATAAGACTGCCTCACATTCTTGGCACTGAAAGACCAATATTTTGTTCCTAGCATGGAAAGACCTCCACCTTTCAAGCCACCACCCCCTCCTATCAAGTACACTTGCATTCAAGAGCCCAACGAAAGTGATCCGCCTTATCATGAGATGGAGACCCTCTAGTCTCGTGAGACTTTGCCCCATGGCAGAACTCTGCTGGAATCCTGTTGAGAAGGTAGACATTGTGCTTTATTAATATAGTCGCTCTTCAGCCACGCCTTTGCTGCAGCTGAAATGGAATTCAGAAGTGAGTGACCTGTTTTCCCAGCAACTCACCCCACTTCATCTCCAAATGCCTGAAGCTTAACCAAGAGTGAGAGGATATGTCATGTTCACACTCAATGCAATTTGTAGTGGTTTTCTTGCTTATGTAAGAAGTACACATTAGTCTGCCATCATTAAAAAAATATGGTATTTTCACTTAAATTCTCTGAGGGAGGGACAGCAATGGTTTCAAGTGTATGCCTATGCCTGATCCTCTTATTTGAACATCTATCAACATTGTAAACTCCTTGCCAAAATCCTGGGCCTTTGTTGCATTCCCTAAGATGATAATTACAGGAAAAAGAAAATGTAAAAGTTCTAACGAGGCTGCCAAGTAATGGAGAAGTATGGTTAGTCTTCATATTGAAATTCTGTTGTTTATTTTCATGGACGGAAAACAGAATACTTTGCACAGGAACCATATTTTCAATCCTCTTTCACTGTCTTCCCACCATGTTCAGCCCAGACTCCTGCCACGTGGACCCGGATGAAGAGGGATCAAAGAGATAACTAGCCAACAACCAAGTAGCACGGAAGATATAAAACTCCACTGGCCTCTAAAACTATATTAGCCAAGAGTGGTTTCATCTGAGTGCCTTCGTGTGTATGTCCATCAAACCGGTACCAAACTGTTTTGTAAGTAAACAGGCAGCCTACGTCCAACGCTACTCATCTAATTCCTGTTTTTCTCTTTTTCATCTGGGGACTTTCCTGTTCGTTTAACCTGCCTGTTTTGATCTGTTTTGAAAAAGAGAAAGAGCCTCAAATCAGATCAGCACTGATTAATTAACCCTGCTCCTACCAATCTTTTACAGAACAGTTGAAGCAGAATGTGCAGGTGTCAGAGAAGAAACCTAGTCAGCCAGACATGTTCTGTATTCAGCAACAGTTTGTGAGGGAATAAATGACTAATCCTCCTCGTCTCTTGAAACCTTCCCACACTCCCTGCTCCAGGAGGGAAAAACAGATGTTGTTGACAGATAGTGATAGGCAAATTCTGTGTGGACTTTAGTCTCAAAAGGAAACTTCAGTTCACTTGCAGTATGCTTATCCCTGACTGCACATGAGAATACCTTGTGCAGAGTTATTTGGAGATTATGTCTTTTTCTTAAATACCATGGCTGTCACACTTCAGTTTAATTAAATCAGAACGTCTGAGGAGTGAGGCACAGGCATCAGCACTCTCAGATGATTCACATATTCAGCAAAGTTGAGAACCATCGAGCCAGTGGAAGTTCTTTCTCATCACTCAGAATCTTAGGTAGATGCTTAACTCTTGTGGTGGCCAGCCACCAAGATGAGCCCCAATGTTTGTGCCTCCTACTATTCACACCCTTATACTGTTCCCTCCGATGCTGAATACAGATGATTTGTGTAACCTGGGGCCAGGATTAAGGTGAGGCAATCAATGTATCTAGGGAAAAAAATTTAAGGAGGTATTCACACTCAGGGTAGTGCACTTGCACAATGTTGAGATGGAGTACCAGTCTCATCCTTGTTATAGCCAAAAAAGCTTAGAAATGACCAAGGCTAGGTCACAAAATACACTGTGGCTTCCACTTTGATCTCTCTTTGACCACTGACACTGGGAAAAGTCCATTCCCATGCCATGAAGACACCCAGGCAACCCTATTGAGAAATCTACCTGTCAAGGAACTGAGGTATTTTGCTAATAAGCACCAACTTGCCAGCCATGTAAGGGAGCCATCTTGGAAGCAGATTCTCCAGCCTACAGTCAAGTCTTTAGATAATTGCAACTTCAGTTGATCTTTTGACCAAGACCTAAAGAGAGCCAGAACTACCCAGCTAAGCCTTTTTCTAAACTTCTGAACTTCTAACAATATAAAATAATAAGTGCTTATTGTTCAACACGATTAATTTTGAGTGTAATTTGTTACATAGCAATAGATTACTAAAATACAGCTCAACAACTAGAAAAATAAATGGTTTACCTGCCTTAATTATTTATCTATAATTCCTTATTAGCTCTCAAGAAACACATGCTAGCTTCATATATATGGCTGTTGCTTTGCTTCATGTGTATAGTTATTTGTATTTAATGCGACTTAATCATCAGTAATTTGTGTACAAAGCATTATGGCTTTATTTTACTGTTTTACTAGAACATGTGAATATAAGTAGAAAGTGGGGGTAGAGAGTGGCAGAGTTGGAGGTATTTGGATTGTTTCACTAAAGGGAGAGACAGTTTTACAGTATAACATAAATCCATGTAATTTATCAATCTATCACATGACAGGTGTCTCACTGTGTTTTTATATTAGCTCTTCTTTGAAGTACACTCTTTTAGTCTCGTAATTAAGTTCCAGCCAGCATTTGTACATTCATTACCACTTGAATAGAGTGAGCAGTTGCTTATAAATGGAGGGATCTTCAGTGAGTAGTTCAGAGGAACTTTTCACAAACCTGCAAATTGGAGGGGCTCCAGTTGCCTTTTAGGTAGTGCAGTGAGCTTGACCACCCTTATTTGACTAAAATGACAGTTTCATTTGAACCCTAAATTGTGTGCAAGTAAATTCATAGAGTGTCTCAACCAGCAACTCCTGTCGCTAGAAGTGAATTTAGCTCTGTCTCATAGGAGAAATAGCAATACTAGACTCTAATCCCTAAAGTTTCATTTTCACTTAGAAAAAGCCATATGTAAACATGTTTGTCACTCATTTCCAAAGCACTATGTGTTAGTTAACATTGTTATGCATATATTCATTTCCTTACCCACCTGCACCAGGAGCACACCTCAACTTGACAATGTGATTTGTTTTGCAATGGAGTATCATGGGCATGACTAACCCACGGTTTGAAAAGTACTTCTATGATTGGTTTCACTCTCTTCTTTTCTACTATCACCATGAGAAGATCATTTTCAGACTAGCCTACTAGTGTCAAGAAGAAAAAGAAAGGCTCATGGAGCAGAACCACCCAAGGCTGGGCTAGTCTAGATCAGCAAAACCCACAGCCTACCTCAACAGGCACATAAGTTAAATACTGTTGCATGCCACTGAAATTGTGTGATTATTACACAACATTGTAGCAATAGTTAACCTACACGTATAGATCCAAAGGTAGGCATATTTTAGCTCATATGTAAGTGCCTAATGCATGTTTTAAAAAAAAAAAAAAAGAGTATTTTCTATTTTCTTTGGTTCAACATGAGTTTTGTTTTAACAGGAAGATATGGTTGACTTCACCAAAATAACTTTTTAAAAATCATAGAACATTTGACCAGGATGGGTATTAGAGGTCATTTTACAAATAATGAGTTAAGGGTTCTGTGAAATTGACTTGTCCAAGGTCACACAATTAGAAATGGTAAAACCAAAATGATGACCCAGCTCTCTGATTTCTAGCCTAGAGTGTAATTGATCTTTAATTGCTTTGGTATCTTCTTTTACTATAGACAAGAGCTACTGCTCTGTGTGCTTTTGAGTAAACATTGGTTTTTTATGCCTTGGTAGTATATGCTAAAAATTGTAACAGAAAATAAAGAAAAGTAGAAATAATTAACCCTATGGGGTGGGATGCTCTAGAAAGTGTCAAAGAACATGAGGAAATGAAAAGAGAAAAGAGAGTAATCAAGATCAGAAGTTGAAAAGAAAGTTTAGAGAAATTTACTAAGGTGAGAGATAATGAAAAATGTCTCAGAGGCTCTGAACAGGGGAAGAGGTCCTTAAAGGCAGCCCTTTTGGCACCCGGACTTAGGATGGTGACTTTGAACCTGAAGGTTGAATCTTCAGAAATACAGAAACTTTTTTCTCTCTGAGATGAAGGCTGAGATGCAGAGCCTAATTGACTTTTTGACAGCAGCAATCATGGCTGTGTCAACCAGCTAAAGGATGGGTGTCCACATTAACTGGCAGAAACACATAGTGAGAATTGGGGAATTAAGGCAGTTTATTTCCCAGCTCCTACAAAGGTGCCTTTTTCCTGGATTTCCGGGATTACTAACAAAGGCACCATGCTGCAGTCAGGAAGCCATGACCAGAAAGCAGGACACTATGACCTTAAGCTAGGTCAGAGCCAGAGAACACCATTGGAATTATTCTCAAAGCTTGAATGGCACATCTGTGATGGGTCTTGATATTTTGTGGGTATAAATAACATAGAAATGGGAATAACAGAATGTGAATTTTTCTCCTCAGACAGCATCTTTGTATCCTCCAATCTCTGTTAGCGAAATCTCCAAAGTCTTTCCTGTTCTGCTCACTCAGATTCCTCCTATTTGTTCAAAGACTGTGGCATTGTGATTGTGGGGAGGGACACTGCGGGGAGTAATAAGGAAGAGCAACAAACCCAATATCACAACATAAAGAAAAGAGCATGGCGGGGGCCATATCCAGCTACCCTCGGTAAGTGCCAGAAACTTATGCACATTTGCCCTGAGTTGTGTCAGACTAAGTCCCATTGACTGTCCAAAGAAGATATATCAGCAAATAAAATTGGCTACAGCATTATACCATTC